GTAATTTTTTTTTTTTCATTTAAAATGAGCTATTGGAAGTCAGTATTGTAAAAAAAAAAAAAAATTGAAAAGTGTGACACAATGACAAACTGCTATTTGCATTTATTATATAGAAAGTGCTGTTTGGTTTTAAGGAAATGAAGTTGAAATAAAGAAAAGCAAGACAAAGGACATGATAACATGCTTATGTGTTTTACGTCTGCTTCAGTGAAATGAAAGATTTATCAGTTTTGAATCTTTTCATCTGTAACCTCTTACTTTTTTAAATAATTACCTGCATTCATATTCATGATTGTTATTACAATATTTTGTTAAAGTTAGTAAGCTCAAATATTTAATGCTATGGTAGAGCAATTTCCGCATGAACTCACAAGGAGCTTATTTAATCATTAACTTAAGAATTAAGTTTCAGAAAATTCAAATATGAAAGTTGTATAATTTTCACAAGTATTTTTAGTTATTATTATTTTAGATATCTTTGTTTTGATATTGAAAAAATATAATTTGATATATAGTGGAGTAATGGATAGCAGCTCAGACTGAGGAATCAGAGAGCCGAGTTTGAATTACAGTCGAATCCATTACATTTACTTACGTGCTAATACCCTTGGAAAAGGTATGAATCCTCTTCTTCTCCCCCCAGCTATGGGTAAATAGCAGGACAGGCCGGATTTTATAGCCTTGGATGGCAACTGGTCTACCACAGAAAGAAATAGCAACCTACTGTGGGAAAAGCGTGTATCACACATGGCAAATAACTGAGAGAATATAGACATCCGACCACTTTTTTTTTCCCTCACCTTATCAAACTCTAGTAAAAATACCTTCAAAATAATCTTGTCTTTTAAGATTTATATTTTGGGATTTTTTTTTTAAATTTATTTTTTTTATTTCTGGTTTGTGTATTTTCCTTTGTAACTTTTGCTTGAAAACTGACATTTATCTCAGACCCAAGTTTTTGGACGTTTGTTTGAAGTTCATTGATTTTTTTTTTTTTTTTTTTTTTTTTAAAGATGGAAAACAATTTCTAAATCATTATTGTTTCTTTTTTTATTTTCTATTTCTCCTTGATTTTTCTTCTTTTTTGTTTTTGTTTTTTTTTTAAGCACTTTGCTTTGAAATTTCTCAATCTTTTCCTTTTAACTATAATTTTTATCATTTTTGAATCATTTCCCTTAGGTCAACATTCACATTTCAGTATTGATTTACCCTCTCTCATGTAATAAACAAAGTTTTTTCAACATACATAAAATCTGCAATATTATACCAGTTCATCTTTTACTTAAATTGTATAGCACTAGCAAAGAAGACATAATACTGGAGAAATATATAATAATAATTTCTATTATTTTTGAAGATCATAGTTTATAGGAAGGCATGAAGACAGAAGCAGAAACTGTTAGCATAGAACTTAGGGTTACATCTATCAGTTTCAACAATAAAATGATGAGACCTATCTGCCAATCTAGTACTGCACTTATATTTTTGGAATTGGGGTACTAAAGAGGAAATCTCATCAGAACAATTACCATGAAAATATTTATAAAAAAAAAGGCACAGGGAAACTATGTTGTGGTGGTAGAAAAGTGATTGAAGCTGAGATTCCAGGTCAGGACTGATAACATTGCAGATTCTTTTTTAGATTTTATCAGGGAAGTCTAGATACAAAGCAGAAGCACAAGACCAAATGAGGAGAAACAGTGGGTGAACTGAAATAAAAAATTATTCATAATCTGTTTTATTTACAGTTGGACTAATGATATTTGATCTTGTTCTTATTTAATACTGCACAGCTGCTGCACACCATTTTCAATGAGTCTAAAGCAGCTGTACCCAGCCCAAGGAGTGAACTCATAATCACTATGCCTCAATATTTACAAACCTCAAATAAAAATGAGGCAAACAATAACTGAGTCATCCTAAAAAAAAAAGAAAGAAATATTTAAACAGACAATTGGTTTCCACATATTCCATCTTACATGCTTTGTTTGGATATTTCATATCATTTTGTCATGATATAATAAATAGGTTTCCGTTTAAACAAAGATGACTTTTACTTTTTATTAAAACATTCAGTAAAAATTTCATTTAATGAACTTTAGTCAACCCAAATTTGGTTTGTAACCCTTAGATTAAGAAACGCTATTCTGAAATGTACAACTATAAGATAATTTCTTTTAGACTATAATGATCTCAAGGAAGATGCATTTTAAATACTTTGTAAATGTTTATGCTTGAATGGCATTTACTTAGTAATTTTGTACAAATTCTTAGATGCACAAGTTGTAAAAATCTAAGTGCATGCACTTTGTATTATATTACATCAGGGGTCAGCAACCTTTTGGAGAGAACAGGCCAAATATGCAATGTCTTAGAGGAGGAGCATCAAGTGTATTATAATAAATTGTCTCAATCTCAGACCATTCCATCCAGAAGACTGCCTTTTGGTCTGGAGGTTTAAAGAAAAAACACTATAAAGTTAATGTTATATTATTTAAACATAATTCATCCTGGACATGATGATAAACTACATCCGACAGCATGGCCTCTGATTGGGAGGTTTTGGGGAGCACCTCTTAATTGCTGTTGTTCCCAGGTCCACCAGTGACCTCTACAAGAAAAAACTACAAATAAAAGCCAATGGTATCATTATTTGGAAGTATATATGCTTGTGAACAACTTTTTCCAGAAAGGAAATATACAAGTAGTCGTTTATGAACAAGGTTGGCTGATGATGTTTTGCACCTGCCATTGACAAACATTTCACCTGATGTTGAAAAGTTATTGAACAATAAGCAAAAACAAGTGTCTTATTAAATAATTCATCATTTCTAACTGTATTATGTTTATAAAGGAATTTACATATTTTGTTGAGAGTCCTAGTTGGTATCCTGTTATTCCCGCAGAAAAACAAGGAACCTTTTTTAAATTGGACAGAAATAAAATGCGCATCTAAGAATTTGTACAAAATTACTAAGTAAATGCCATTCAAGCATAAACATTTACAAAGTATTTAAAATGCATCTTCCTTGAGATCTAAAAGAAATTATCTTATAGTTGTACATTTCAGAATAGCGTTTCTTAATCTAAGGGTTACAAACCAAATTTGGGTTGACTAAAGTTCATTAAATTAAATTTTTACTGAATGTTTTAACAAAAAGTAAAAGTCATCTTTGTTTAAACGGAAACTTATTTATTATATCATGACAAAATAATATGAAATATCCAAACAAAGCATGTAAGATGGAATATGTGGAAACCAATTGCCTATTTAAATATTTCTTTCTTTTTTTTTAGGATGACTCAGTTATTGCTTGCCTCATTTTTATTTGAGGTTTGTAAATATTGAGGCATAGTGATTATGAGTTCACTCCTTGGGCTGGGTACAGCTGCTTTAGACTCATTGAAAATGGTGCACAGCAACTGTGCAGTATTAAATAAGAACAAGATCAAATATCATTAGTCCAACTGTTAGGTTCCCAGTTATGGGCAAATAGTTAACCACCCGCACACAAACTGGGGTTAAAACACTATGAAAGTATAAAAATTCATTTTTATAGTAAAAATACTAGCAATATATTTTTATAAAAGAAATTACTAATGCTCCTAAGAAAATTAAACTTCAGCATTAAATGACATATAATGAATTGATATGCCGCTAAACAAACAATTTAAACAAGGTTCCTTGTTTTTCTGCAAGAATAACAGGATAACAACTAGGACTCTCAACAAAATATGTAAATTCCTTTATAAACATAATACAGTTAGAAATGATGAATTATTTAATAAGACACTTGTTTCTTCTTAGTGTTCAGTAACTTCTCGACATCAGGTGAAATCTTTGTCAATGGCAGGCGCAAAACATCATCAACCAACTTTGTTCATAAACGACTACTAGTATATTTCCTTTCTGGAAAAAGTTGTTCACAAGCATATATACTTCCAAATAATGATATCATTGGCTTTTATTTGTAGCTTTTGCTTGTAGAAGTCACCGGTGGATTCAGAATAAAATTTTGATTTCAAAAATTGGTTGCATTGTAAGTCGATTAATTCCAACCGATATTTTTCTGCCACTGGCTTCACATCTGTTTCATAAAGAGTACCAAATAATTTCAGCTGATTCCCATATTGCCAGAAACCAGCAAAACAGGAAGAAAACTCACTTCTCAAATCCTGAACAGAGCTCACAAAGATGTCTGTTATTATATCTCTCTTGGGATTTTGGAAAATGAGTGTAGTTAATACTTAATTTTATTTCTGTCCTCAGTATGATGATAAACTACTTCCGTGTCCTGGGTAATGTGATAAACTATGTCCAACATCAAGGCCTCTGATCAGGAGATTTTGAGGAGTGTAGAACCACCTCTTAATTGCTGGTGATTCCAGGTCCACCCTGACCCGGGGTGGGTAGCACCTGTTAGGGTTCCAACTATGGACAAATAGATAACTCTCAAACTGGGGTCAAAAGATTATGAATATGTAAAAATAGGTTTTAATACCAGCATTAAATTTTTTGAGGAAAAATTATTACCAGCAATATATTTCTGAAGAAAAAAAATATTACCAGCAATACATTTTTGGAGAAAATATTACCAGCAATAAAAATCTTGTCAGCATTAAATAACTCATTGTGGTTGATATGCCATAAAACAAACCAAACCTAACTTTATTTATCATAAAAAATTAAGTAAACATTAATTAATTATCAAATACAAATACCAACAGTTGTTTTACTGCCAGACAACAAACATAAATGGAAAATTCTGAGGAGGAGAGGAAGTAACTTTTCTAAGGACTGTTTAAATTTAAAGTGAACAATTATATCTGTACTCAGTACTAATTAGATAATTATTGTCCAGGTTTTATGTTGGTGGACTTGACAAAAATCCTTTGTTGACCAGATATGGGCTTGGAGCTGAGGATGCTGACTGTATGACGTTTTGAAACAGATCATATTTATTTTTTTTCAAAATTTGTATTTCTTGATGGTTTTCCAGGTGGAAACACTTACCAAAGATCAAGTGAAATCTGAAAAACAAATCTCAAGTTTACAAGCACGTCTGACCAACCTGCAGGTGAGGCTGATATTTCTCACTTTAGAATTTTGTGAAGAGTCATTAATTCATTCTTTTGTTGTTGCTTCACTTCAGCAGATCCATTCTACAGCCTTCCTTGAGTTCCCAGTCCATAAAGGAAAGGAGAACAGTTACTTTTTTTTTTTTTATCAAAGTAGTTGACAGAATATGATTTCTGTCTGAATTGCTGGGATGAAGAGTGTTCTCATTCTTTACATTTGGACTAATGTCCTCAGATTCGTCATTATTATAACAATGTTTTGACTGTTGTGCCCTCCGGCCTTCTTCAGGGAATTTTGAACTGAACTCCCTATTTAATCTATGGGGCTAGATTCTTCTTGTTCCACTGTTTCTATCTAGGGATATATCATTTAGTTCTTGTTTAGTACTGCTTAGTTATATCTTTGTCACTACTGAGTTGTAATTCAGGTTTCCTGAATTTGAAGGAATGGTAATTGCAAGCTCAATCTCAGGGCCAGACTCAGTTGAAACAGGGTAAGCAATAACTAAAGAAGTAATAACTAGCAGTACTAAAGAAGTAATTGTGAGTTCAATCCCTGAGCTAGGTAGTACAGATTCAGATTCAATGGAAACCAATGGGTGTCCAATAACTGAGCAGTACTAATTAACATATTTATAGATCAAGTGAGTGGAATGAGAACAAACTATCCTTTTAAAGTAAATGAAGGGTTCAGTTCAGAATTCCTTGAAGGTTGCTTGGATTGGCAGTCACCTGAAGAAGGCTAGAGAGCACAACAGCTGAAACATTATGATCACAATAGCAAAAAATGAGAGCATTAACTAATGGATAGCAGCTAGGATTGAGGAATCGGAGAGCCGAGTTTGAATTCACTTATGTGCTAATACCCTTGGGAAAGGTATGAATCTTCTTCTTCTCCCCTCTGCTAAATAGCAGGATGGACTGGGTTCTATAGCATTGGATGGCAACTGGTCTACCACAGAAAGAAGTGGCAACCTACTGCAGGAAAAAATCTGTCTTGTCAGTCATGTATCGAAAGATACATGATTGCTGAAGCATGTATCACACATTGCACATAACTGACTGAAATAAAATGGATTGAGTTGACCTTTGATGGTAATTATTTAATGAAAGTTAAAGGATCCCCTGATACTGGTGAAAAAATTCCAATGGCAGTTACAGATGACCAAATCCTAACAGTTTATCTTTTATCTGAATTCACTGTAACAGCCGAATGGGGGTGGGGACTGGCTTGCAATTTTCAATAACTCCAAAATTAATTTGTCTAAATTTCTGTAATGAGAAGTTACTTTTATTTACATTGTTTATAATCAAACTATTGTCCTCATTTTTGTTGTTAACATCATAACATTTCAACTGTTGTGCTTTCCGGCCTTCCTCTAGGGGTATATCAATCCAGGTAACCTCCAGGAATTCTGAATTGAACCCTCTATTTAATCTACTTGTTCTTATTCTACTGTTCATGTCTAGGGATATCATCTAGTTCTTATTATACTGCTCAGTTATTGCTTGTTCCATTTTCACTGAGTGAAAGTATATACTACGCAACACAGGGATTTAACTCAGTATCATTATTTCAACAAATTTACAAACCAACACTTTAACCTACTCAGACATTGTACGAATATAATATTGTGTTCTGTGTCATCTCTGGGTCTCCACACCACTACATAAGATGCTATCAACGAAAAAGACAATTTGTTTTTATATTTTAAGAGGGGGTGGGCAGATGTGGCAGCTTGGATTCTAAGAGGCAGTGGGAGGAATGACATCACAGGAACACATTTTGTGCATTGGCTCACCATCCCTCTGTGGGTGGTCTTAGTTGGTCTCTCAACCTGGGTGTGGGAAGTGTATTGATGCTTCAAAATTCTTGCAACCCCCTGTTGAATTAATGTCATTTTGATCTTATATTCAAAACCAAGATAAAAGCAATCCATCACTTTCCATGAGAATACCATGTCCACGAGACACTTTGGCCAATTGTTGGCCATTCTGGCCCTGGTCTCCATATTTTGTAACAATAAATACTGTAAATGACTCCAAAATTAAATTAAAAACTTTTCATCATCACCGAGCCGATTCTGAATTCTCACCAGTCACAATGAATGGTTGAACTCTCAAATAGGCTTCAGTGTCATTTGAAACCCTTCACCTCGGACTTTAAGGGGTAATGCATGCATGTGATCCATCCCTATAGCTACTAGAAAACAGTTGGCTCTTTATACCGCATCAGAAAGTACCTGACTCCTCCTACCAGGTTCTATCATTACAAGAATCAGATCAAACCAAAAATGGAGTATTGCTGCCATATATGGGCTGAAGCTTCCCAAACCTCTCAAAGTTCAAAAGTGTTTGGGTGATTAATTATTTTTCACCCTACAACTACTTTCCGCACAGACCCAACATTCCAACCTTGTCACTAAATCACTATTTGCCTTTTCTGAAAAGCTACCATCCCTCATTATACCAGTTCAGAACTTTAGAGCTGAGACCTGCTATACCATGTCCTCAGGAGAAAACCACCCTTGTTCCCTTCATATTCCATTGTTAAGAAAGAAAGTTTGATTTGGACAATTTCTTCCCAAGAGCCGCTGCATTGTGGAACAGACACACAAGAGGATGCTTCCTTGACCATTACAATCTTGACCTCTTCTGATATAAGGTCAACGGTTATCTAAACTACATGACCTCATAATCTTCAATTTCTACACCCAGAAAACAACCACATTCTGTAACCCTCTACCTTGAGTGGCTCAGGCCTTGTATTGTATGATCAATAGCATAAAAATGTCACTGATGAAAACTGGAGCTTTTTTTTTGTATTAGTCCATTGTGATTTTTGTTCTTCCATATGCTGTGTCTCTTCAGGGCATGGACAATCATGGCTCTCCACAACTTTTCCTATAAGAGTTATAGTCAACATTAAATAACCCAACAGTGTTTATAATACCCTGATTGCAAACTCTGCAGAGGGTAAGAACCCTTCCCTATCACAAAGGGGCCACTCAGACTCAGTTTACACTTTTCATGAAAGTGTAAACCAGATCTGTGGCTCCCTTTCTATTAATTCATTGTCATTTTTGTTTTGTAAGTCTTATAATCAACATTAAATAAACCAATCTATAAAATTAACATTTAAATAAACCAAACTTAATTGCTTATATCACTTTTGCACTAATACCTTTGAGAAAGGCATGAACCCATCTTCTCTTGTGATCTGTCCCACTACCAATTTATGATGGTAAACAGAAAAGAATTGGAGTATGAGTACATGGGTAAATATACTTCTCCAAATTACCTTATATGCACAAAGATATCAGTAAAAATAGCTGCTATATCTTTTGTCAGCTTCTTTATTGAATCCTATTCTAACATGTAAGTAATGTCTGCTGTAACAAGTGGGTCATGCAGGCTATTATTTATGTTCCAAGTTCAGTTCTCCAGCACTGTTTCATGATGTTAGCCTTGAACCAGACATAGCTAATCTTATTTAAAGGCAATTTAGTGCCTACCAGTCTGGTGTCTAGTGTGTTATTCATATTGCTTGTGGGTATGAACCACATTAGGTCCTCCTTTATCATGGCCTCGCACCATATTGTGATACTATGGGCACCCACTTGAAAACGAAAATGTGGTTTTATCTCAATGTCAAGTGTTTCTATTTTATAGCCAGCAGGTTGTTTTTTGTTTTATTTTTTGATATCTTGATTTCTAAGAGGTATCCACTTTGACAGAAGGGGAATGGGAATGGGAAAGAAAAAGAGTGAATGAGGGGTTTTTGGAGATCAAGTGACAACAAATCTGGAAATAAGCTATATCCAGGTACTGGTCTATATTAGGTTATACTTAGGATCTGATCCTCTCTTGATGGGAGATGGACTTGTCTATCGTGTGGTTTCAATGTCATCCATTTGTACTGTCAGCACAAATTGGGATGTGTGGAAAAGTGAAGGTTTTGTAAGAGGAAGTGCTGACATAGCAAAAGTTGTCCCAAATGTCATCTACCCAAATGAACAGGCAAAGCCCTGAATATAAAATACTTATTTTATAATATGGGAAACAGTTTGCATTGTTATTTCTTGGCCCCTCCCTAGCTTTTTGTGCACTCTGACAAGAGTCAGAATCAAAATTTAACATGGGGTAATCGTTGGCTGGTCAGTGAAAAGCTTGGAAAAGTGTTGTATTGTATGTTTACAATGCTAAGCTAAACTAGAAAAATGCCTATAATATGAATTCAACAGTAGAACTAAAATATTTCTTTTTTTTATTTGTTTTTGTTGTTGAAGACAAGATGATAAGGAATGTTGTCTACCACTCTACGACCGGTTGCATTGTTCTCAATACTTATGATGCTTTACTGAATATAGCAGAGGTAGAAATAGAGGAAGACGATTATGTTGCAACAATCTCCCAAATAGAGGATCCTGCCTTCCTTGAAAATCAGCATTTAAAGAAAGACAAACCTTCATCAGATCATGTAGACTAGTACTACAAAATCATGAAGAACTTTATCAAATAACAAAAACCACATTACTTGAAGACTTTCAACAGCAGCAGGAAAAAAGTGCATAGTGCATGTAACTAGAAGAGAAAATAAGGATATAATCAAGATTTTTAATTATTCACTCAACTAAAAACAAAATGAACTTGAGTAGTATATTTTCCTTAAGAACTGCTTTAAGAAAAAGATTTTATAAATTTCATGATAGTAATGTTAACTCTTTAGATAATGAATGTCAAATGTTTCCAATATGGTATTGGTAATATTAGCCTTTTCCCTACAAGGAAACATTTGGCATTCATTGACCAAGCAACCAGTGCTTTTTCTCAGTTATAATTTATAAAATCTTTCTCTTAAAACAATTTCTCATGAAATAAGTTTATCAAGTCCAGTAGCTGTTATGGCTCTTTCCAGTATTGATGGGAGTTTCCTTCCTAACCTTTTATTTGAAGTAGTGGGGAATGTCAATATCTTGTCATTAATTCTTGTTAATTACATGCTCTATGTTGTTGCTATGGTTTCTGCTGTTTCATACAGTTCTTTGTGATTCTGTAGTGCTGCTTCACAATATTCACCAAAGAATGATCATTGCCAAGACCCTCAGGCTTCACTTGCTCAAAGCCATTTGGTCTGAGAAAGAGGTTGTATACAGCTACGGTAACAGCTAACTTCCCAATTACCATTTCCAATTGAAATCCTGTTTTAATTATCTGTGATCTCAAACTTGGTCAGTGACAGATATGCAACTATCTCAGCCACCTTGCACTCCTAATTATTAACATTTACATAGCATAACCTTTTGATTTTTTTTCTCTCTTTCATATTGCCATTTTAGCGTTTGCAAGAACAGAATCAACGCCAACCACTGGTTCTTACCAGCTTGGCACCAAAGACAGTCTGCAACACAAGCTCAAAAAGCAGCACAAAAAACTTGAAAGAATTTGGAGAAAAACAAGCCAAAAAAACAGCCACGATGTCAAAAGCAAGTAGTATTTTTTTTTTTTTGTTTTAAATTTTTATTTCTTTATTAAATAAGAATTACTTCACCCAACTCTAAGAAAATCTGGAATTAAAAGAAAAAAAAATATTCAAACACTTAGTCTTAACTGAATTTTGTCCCCTCATATTGAATACAGTTGAGGCTTATTTCTGCTCCACAAATCACAACAGGTTATATTAAACAGCACATTAAGAATTTAAAATGAAAGACAATATTTATAATTTTTAGCTGTCAAAAATAGCTATTTCAAATACATGAAGTGCTATCTTCTGGTTACATGCATTGGGATTTGTGAGATAGTACCTGTGAATCGAGTTTTCAGCATTTCTTTCTGCCCCCAATATTCGAGTCTGAACTTACAGTGATTTGTTCTCTGCGTTGTGGAATTAATCTGCGACAAACATTTCCTTTGCTTTCAGAACGCGTACAAGCTATTTTGGCACTGACAGACAAGACATTTGACGTCAAGTTGATAACCGAGTTTGATGGTTCAGTGACTGGACAAGCAGTTACTGAATGGATTGAGAAGGCAGAACTTGTTTGTGACCTGTGTGGAATTAAAAAGGTTGAACGTGTTCTTCCTCTGAGGTTGATGAGCGGTGCATTTGCTGTTTACCAACAGTTAAATTCGGAGCAAAAATCAGATGTTGAGCAGATAAAACGAGCCCTGCGGATTGCCTTTGCGCTGGATTGTTTCTTGGGTACGAGCAATTCGTGGAATGCCGACTGCGCCCAGACGAATCTGTCGATGTGTTTCTAGCCGACTTGAAGAAGCTAGCAGGTCTTTTTGGCAGGATATCCGAGATAGGACTAGCATGTGCATTCATAGCAGGGTTACCAGCGCATGTCAAGCAACTACTGCACTCATCTTCCAGGATGAAAGACATGAATACAAACCAACTTCTATTTCAAATGCAACATGCAATCTTCTTTCTTACTGAACCCTATTCCTTTATTGTTCTTTTCCTTTCTAAAGTCTTCTTCCACTCCTAGTAACCCGTTGCACCTTAGTAGCATTATCACCTTGCCTGGAGTGAAATACTTAAAAATTAAATTAAGGCAGTGGAGAACTTTCAGAGGGAAATTAACAGGAGATAACTGATAACTGACATCCATTAAACATGGCATGTGGAACTAGAACAGTCTACCCCAATGAGCGAAATAAAGGGTTAAATTCGACATTCCAACCACCTGAAGAAGGCCAGAGCATACAACAGCCAAAATGTTGTAATAAATATGGCGACAAAGATGAGGACAATAGTCCGAATAATGTAAATAATGTAAATTATTCTCATTTTCAAGTATGTCTGTCTGCTAGGACCCTGTTACCAATGTGTTCAACACCCACAGTGTCAATGGTTGGTTTATACAGCAACTACACTGAGTGTTTCTTCGATCTTCCCTTCTTATTCCAAATCAATGTCTTTGGGAAGGCTTAATCCAGTAGTTCTAAGCTTTTTTTCTCTGGGCCGCATTTTCAGAATTAAAATTTGTTCGCGCCTCACCAAATTTTACGTGAAAAGAGTACATTTAAAAATAAAAATAAAAAAAACAGAGTGAGGGTTAAAAGGAGATAACCATGGATTTGAAGTCAGAATATTATCATTGATAACTCTCTCCTCCAATTTGCAGAGCCTAGTTACTATATTCTTAATACTTAATATAATGCAAAAATATCACAATGATAAAATTGGTCAATAATTATTTATAAAAATTTATCATGCAAGCAATTTAAAGTGAGTTTGTGTGTGTTTTTTCCTTCCAATTGTGCTGTTAGGCATCGCAAGGAGACAGTGATCTGTCAGCAGCAAGGCGAGTGGCCTGTAGGAGAGATATCTTGTGGGCTTTGAGAGTGTCTGCCACTGAGCCACTCCAGCGTGTTCTTGGTCTGCCTCTCGCTCTCTAGCCAGGGTACTTTAGGGTATATGCTCATAAGGCTGGTTGGTTGATAGGCATATGAGTGAGGTGTTCGAACCACTTGATCCTCTGTCATTTGATGTGTTGTATGATTGGTATTGCGCCTACCATATTTCTTATTGCCTCATTCCTGATCTTGCCTTGCTTGTTCACTGCTTTCCTCGAGCATTTCATCTCACAAGTTTTCTCTCCATGGTTTTTGTTAGGGGCTATGTCTGGCACTGGTATGTCAGTGTTGGTAATTCAAATTAATATTTAACATTTTGAAATTATTTATTTTTGCATATTAAGTTTTTTAAATCGTTTCTAAATTTTTGATTGTCATTCAGTCTCACCTGCTATCCTTTTCTGCTGCACATATGAGGCTTGTTTGGGAACCACTGAGTTAACTTTATAGAAGTAGATGACAATGTTCTTGAAAGAAGAATTTGATTGAGTAAGCAATTATTTAATAATAATTGCAGTACCGATATTGATAATTATTGATTATTGATTTGCTCTTCAATATGATAGAAGAGTGGATGCCAAGAAAATGAAAAATATCAGGATCTGGCAAGGAAGTTAATAATAATTAATAGGGCAGCTAGTCAATCCCTGTTGCAGATCCCTGTTCAGGTACATTTGTGTTTGTTCAATACCCACAGAGCCCACCTGTGGTTTATACTGCAACTATACCGAGCAAACATTGGTTACAGTTTCTGGGAGAGAGCACATCATCTGGCATGATCAACAGTTTGAATAAGAACAGTACTCTCAAACCCTCAGTCACAATGACTTGTGACTAAGTGCCAGCACTACTATCAATGGCTTCCAAACAATTCCATCTACCCGATTTCACTCACCAGGCCTGGGTCACCTGTGGTCTGGTTGTCAGGCACTTTCTAACAGCACCGCAGACTGGGATTACCTCTCCTGGCTGATAATATATGAAGTCTCATTTCTGACAAATCGACAATATTGAGATTTAACTCTGAGTGTCATGGTCAGAAAGTGAATGTTGGCCACATATCCACTATATGAAAAAAAATATTGCTGTAGAATCAATAATAGTTGACAAAGCTTCAACTGGTACAACTATTATTATGTCTATTGTATGTCAAATAAATTACCAGTTATTCATGTAAAAATAAAGAGAGATATTATATGGTTGGACTGGTATTGTTTAGTTTTTTGTGTTTTTTTCTTTCTTTTTTCCTTTTTCTTTCTTTTCCTTTCTTTCTTTTTCCTTTCTTTTTTCCTTTCTTTTTCCTTTCTTTCCTTTTCCTTTCACTCTTTTTATTTCTTTTTTCTTCCTTTCTTTTTCCTTTCTTTTCTTTTTCCTTTTTCCTTTCTTTCTTTTTCCTTTCTTTCTTTTCTCTCCTTTCTTTTTTTATTTCTTTTCTCCTTTCTTTTTTTCCTTTGTTTTCTTCCTCCTTTTTTTGTTTCATATTTTACTTTTTGTCAGTCATTCTATTGAAGCACATCTCTGTTGCCTCAAGTCTCTTCTTCATCTGTGAGGAAATCATCCAGGATTCACTTCCATATAGGAGGATTGATATTACATCACAGTACAGCAGTCTTTGTCTCTAATTAAATTTTCCTGTTTCTTGATACTTTTTTTATACACAAATCGGAAGTGATGACAACAATTCTAAAGATAGAAAAATCTCTTTTCAGCACCTAACATAATTCTTTTCTTTTTTTGTTTTTAAATTCTCTGTCTATGCAGTGAAGGTCGGCAACCTGCTAGATTTTTATCTTATCTGATGCTTTTTATTTCTGTCTTACAGGCTTTGCATTGCATGTATGAATTACTTCCGACACTTTTGGATTGGGTGGTGGATATGCAGTTGGCCTCTCCCATGAATGAAGTCACTTCATCCAGCAAAACTGCTTATAGGTTATGGCAAACAAGCAGTGCTTCAGTGGACAACATGGAAAAATCAGACCCACTTCAGGAACGTTGCATGAAGGTACTTAAGAGATGAACCAGTAAAGTCATTGAGTGTGTACTCTTCGATTTCTTCCAGGTCTTCATCAGCCAAGTGTGGTAAAAAGACTAGCCTAGAAAATGTAAAGAACATGTGAGTAATGTGGAAATTTTAATGAAAAATGGAGAAGAAATACACTTATAGTTGTGTGGTGTTACCTGCTCATGGGAAGTAGTATGCACACAACTGCCTCATGGGTAATAGCAATAGCTATTTATAGCCTTTGTGGCTTCATATATAAATGAATCACCTCATCTCCCTTTTTGTTTTCTCCCCTTATTTTCCTTGGTATTTTTCCTGTCAGTTTTTGCTTCTTCATTATCTTCCTCCCTTTCCCTACAATTTATTTTTTTTTTTTTAGAGTTAATTCTCAATACTACATTTTAATGAGAGCCCATACTGAGTGGGTAACTGAATGGGGGAAATTTGGCTTGAGAGTTTTCCCAACAAAGTGGATACTTTCCACAAATATTTAAAAATGTAGAAATGAAAAACAGGTAAAAAAAATAAAAATGAATGACTGAATTTTGGCAATTCCCAACACCATTCTACAAAAAAATAGATCGAAATAACATATAAACAGAAAATATATTAGAATAATTGTCGGACTTAGTCCATTTCATAATATATGATATCATTTATTTATGTTACGATACACTTCAAGCAGATATGGGTGTTTGAGAAAAATTATGGAAAATTTGTTGTTTAAAAGCAATGATTTGACTTTGTTAACTAGATGCTTCCTCTGTAGTTAAATGGTATAACGCTTCAGGCTATATGATGGTTCCATGTAGGGTACAGGTTCAATTCCTGTCAGAGGACACATATTTTCTATGAAATTTCTTCGACATTCAAGCCGGTAAATGTAGTTAAAATTGTTTATTATAAACAGACCATTTACTTAAATATTTGTACCTATAAAAATAATGTATAAACATATATATATATATATATATATATATATATATATATATATATATATATATATATATACCTGTGAGTAGGTAGATACACTTGCACAAGGTGCCATCTCATGTTTTTTTTTTTGTCTTAATTCTTGAAACTACATTTTAATAAGAATTTATACTGAGAGGGTAACTGAATGGGGAATGTGGATACTTGATATATATATATATATATATATATATATATATATATATATATATATCAACTCAAGTTCCACTTGTTTGTGGCTGACAGGTTGTTCTTGGTATCTGGGTAGAACTCAAATTCCGTTAATAGTTGCGGAAAGAAAAGTAGGTTGATTAAGTAAAGCAGTCCTGTGAAAGGTTTGAATCCATCTCCCCCCAGCTATGGCTCAAATAGTAGGGCTTGTATCTGAAAAATCATTGTTATTCCAAATCAAAATGTTAATAGATAATTCACAATACATAATTTTTTTTTTAATCATTTCACCCTAAGCAACGAGTCACTGAATATCAACCTTTTGCAGGTTATGTAAAGCCAATATTTTTAGATTGTATAAATCTTTTTTGTGGTGTTGGGTGGGGTGATAATCAGGATTTAGTGATACAAGTCTTACTAACTAATCCATAGCTGAGGGAGAAGAGGTGGATTCATGCTTTTCCCAAGGGTATTTGTACATAAGTGAATATAACAAACCCAACTGGAATTGGAACTCAGCACTCTGATTAACAATTCTGAGTCATTATACATTACACCACCTGCACATCCAAGCTTAAAGCACCTGGTATTTTTTAATTCCCAAGCAGTCTCCCATTGAGGTACTTGAAAAGCTCAACATTGCTTAAATTTGGTGATCCTATGTGAACTGGTGTTTTAGCATGATGTGGCCCTAAACCCAAAACATTATTAAGGGGAGAGATCAATAAAGGAAGAGGAATTAAGAAAACAGAAGATAAAAATTGAAATTGCATTTAAGTTCTTGAAGATCAATGTTGTCTGGAAAACAAGAAGCTGGAAGAGAGTTCCATGTGCAAGAGAAGACACTGTTAGCATAGAACATACGGTTACCAGTAACTATTTCAAATGTAAATTGATGAGATCTCGCTGCCAATCTAGCAGTAAAATTATTCTTACAATCCGAAATATGCTTCAGCTTTAAATAACCTACAGTGTTGATAACCCATAAAAAATAAATCAATTAAGCCCTGATAGATGGAAATTGATGAAAGGACAAGAAATTGTAAAGAACCATGATTGCAAAAATCCTGAAGGGAGACAGCACATAGAAGGAGAACAATATGTTTTGTCACATAGCATGAGCATATTTTTGCGGGGAGGATTGTGTGCGGGATCAATTTACAGTTAACTTACATAGCAAACTGAACCTCGACTTCTTAAAATTTAGAAAATAAAAAACATTGATATTCAAGATCTGGCTGTCCTGGGTATGACAATAAACTGCATCCCTATCCTGGGTAAGACGATAAACTACATCCAACAGCAAGGCCTCTGATCAGGAGGTTTTGAGGAACGGGAAACCACCTCTTAATTGCTGGTGTTCCCAGGTCCACCCTGACCCGGGTTGGTAGCACCTGTTATGGTCCCAGTTATGGGCAAATAGTTAACCCCACTACCTGACTCAAAACACTATGAAAGTGTAAAAATAGATTTTAATACCAGAAATACTTTTAAAAAACATTAGAATCAGCAATAAATATTTGAAAAAGAAAAATATTACCAGAAATAAAAATCTTGTCAGCATTAAATAACCCATTGAGGTTAATATGCCACAAAACAAAAGAAACCAAACCAGTATATACTGAGATAGATAGATGGATAAAAAATATTACCATCTATAAAAATCATGTTGGCATTAAATAATCCATTGAGGTTGATATGCCACAAAACAAACCAAACTATAGATTTTTTTTTTTTAAATATTACCAGTTATACATTTTGGAAAAAAAAAAGGAAATTTTGTCAGCATTAAATAACCCATTGAGGTGTTGATATGGCGTAAGACAAAAGAAACCAAACCAATCAAGATCTGGAGTGCAGACACCAAAAATTCTTCAACATACTTATTGTTATTTTTATTATCATTTCAGATAATTCCAACTCTGGTTGACTTACTTAGACATTTTCCCTTCCATGCTGGTCAAATTTCACTCCCTTGCCTCCAGTTTATCCACTGGGCCATCAAATACCTTGAGGAACACAATAGCCAATCGGTAAGTTGTTAATTCTCATCTACTGCCTTTCACTGTTTTACTGAGATGAAACAATCCCTTGACCCAACTTCTTATTCAAACATCTTCATCTTTATTGCTTTTAACACATTTCAGCTGTAACTATCCTTCATCAGTTAGAAAATTAGGCATTATCATTATTCAATTTATTATTTGGGCTGTTATCTTTATAGAAACTTTCTCTTTGTGGTTTTTTAATACAGTATGACGGCATGTAGTATATTGCTGCAAAAATGATTACAAATACTAGAAGTTTTAACTACGAGAACAAAACAAACTAATATCAATAAATTTCAAGAAGACATGACCCTTGAAACTTATTCAAAGAAAACAAAATGCTTCCACATAGATGGAAGCTGACCATCCCAAAAATAAAATTCTTTATAAATGGCTTATGAAAATTCATGTTACATAAAAGATATTTTGAGTAATTTATGTTCAAATTTTCCATGGAGAACAAAAATAGTGAATCTGAATAGTAGAAAAAAATAAATAAAATTTTATTGGTCTTCAACTAAACCTACAGATACAAAATGGTTTATAAACTGTTTTTACTAAATTAGTACTTAAACAATATGACATAGATAACCCTTGAAAAAATAAATGAATAATAAAATATGAATAAAATAGATTTGAAATGAGTACAGATCTAACTCATATAATAATGTGAAACAAGTTCAAATCTGATTCCTATAATAATTTGGAAGGTGTTCAAATCTGATTCCTATAATAATTTGGAAGGTGTTCAAATCTGATTCCTATAATAATTTGGAAGGTGTTCAAATCTGATTCCTATAATAATTTGGAAGGTGTTCAAATCTGATTCCTATAATAATTTGGAAGGTGTTCAAATCTGATTCCTATAATAATTTGGAAGGTGTTCAAATCTGATTCCTATAATAATTTGGAAGGTGTTCAAATCTGATTCCTATAATAATTTGGAAGGTGTTCAAATTGATTCCTATAATAATTTGGAAGGTGTTCAAATCTGATTCCTATAATAATTTGGAAGGTGTTCAAATCTGATTCCTATAATAATTTGGAAGGTGTTCAAATCTGATTCCTATAATAATTTGGAAGGTGTTCAAATCTGATTCCTATAATAATTTGGAAGGTGTTCAAATCTGATTCCTATAATTATTTGGAAGGTGTTCAAATCTGATTCCTATAATAATTTGGAAGGTGTTCAAAATTCCTATAATAATTTGAAGGTGTTTCTGATTCCTATAATAATTTGGAAGGTGTTCAAATCTGATTCCTATAATTATTTGGAAGGTGTTCAAATCTGATTCCTATAATAATTTGGAAGGTGTTCAAATCTGATTCCTATAATAATTTGGAAGGTGATTCCTATAATAATTTGGAAGGTGTTCAAATCTGATTCCTATAATTATTTGGAAGGTGTTCAAATCTGATTCCTATAATAATTTGGAAGGTGTTCAAATCTGATTCCTATAATAATTTGGAAGGTGTTCAAATCTGATTCCTATAATAATTTGGAAGGTGTTCAAATCTGATTCCTATAATAATTTGGAAGGTGTTCAAATCTGATTCCTATAATAATTTGGAAGGTGTTCAAATCTGATTCCTATAATAATTTGGAAGGTGTTCAAATCTGATTCCTATAATAATTTGGAAGGTGTTCAAATCTGATTCCTATAATAATTTGGAAGGTGTTCAAATCTGATTCCTATAATTATTTGGAAGGTGTTCAAATCTGATTCCTATAATAATTTGGAAGGTGTTCAAATCTGATTCCTATAATTATTTGGAAGGTGTTCAAATCTGATTCCTATAATTATTTGGAAGGTGTTCAAATCTGATTCCTATAATAATTTGGAAGGTGTTCAAATCTAATTCCTATAATAATTTGGAAGGTGTTCAAATCTGATTCCTATAATTATTTGGAAGGTGTTCAAATCTGATTCCTATAATAATTTGGAAGGTGTTCAAATCTGATTCCTATAATTATTTTGAAGGTGTTCAAATCTGATTCCTATAATAATTTGGAAGGTGTTCAAATCTGATTCCTATAATAATTTGGAAGGTGTTCAAATCTGATTCCTATAATTATTTGGAAGGTGTTCAAATCTGATTCCTATAATAATTTGGAAGGTGTTCAAATCTGATTCCTATAATAATTTGGAAGGTGTTCAAATCTGATTCCTATAATAATTTGGAAGGTGTTCAAATCTGATTCCTATAATTATTTGGAAGGTGTTCGAATCTGATTCCTATAATAATTTGGAAGGTGTTCGAATCTGATTCCTATAATAATTTGGAAGGTGTTCAAATCTGATTCCTATAATAATTTTAAAAGATTTTAAATCTACTAAGTGGTTGTGTCTAACATGACATAGGGTATATTTTTTCTTCATTTTCATTCTCCGTAAAATATTCTGGCCAGCAGTGTGCATATGTATGTATATATATGCACATATATATATATATATATATGTGTGTGTATGTATGGGAGGCCCGTGTCTAAAAGCATACCTGGCTATATGGTGGATTTCTCTAAATACATACATACATACGTACATATATATATATATATATATATATATATATATGCACATATATACATATTTACATGCATATATATATATATATTATATATATATATGCACATATATACATTTTTACACACACACACATATATATATATATATATATATATATATATATATATTACACACATACACACACACACATATTTATATGTATTTATAAATGTCTGTGTGTCTTTCATTTATTAGATTACAACCTTTCAAATAAGACATGGTGATATAGAAACATCACTTGACGCCAATTACCACCAGAGAAAATCGAAGAATCCTGACATAAAAGTCATGTGTAAATAAATGAATTCCAAATGCCAATTATGAAATTGTGTTAAAGAAAAAAGTTTTTGAATTTTTATGTAACTTTTTTTTTTTTTGTAGCAATTTCAGTTTCATGTCAATGTTTAATTTTCCCATTCTGTATGAAACTGTTCTTGAAGATATGCTTTGCTTTTCTTTCATTTCACAGTGAAGACTTTGTCAATTACATGAAATTTGATATAGGAGCATAGATTTTATTAAATCTACAAGATTATAAATATGTGGAAATATTTCAACTTCTTTGCTTCTCTCTTGACAATTGATAAAGATGTCACTTCAGTGTTCACTTCAAAGAATACAAATGCTAGTAAAATCCTGGTTTTTATTTATTAAACCTTGCAGACATCAGGAGCCACTTCTCTGTTGTAAAATGCCAAGGAATATGACTTTTGATTCCCTGCCTTTGCACTTAATATTCTAATATTAAGCAGTTAGGTCTACATACTAGTGACGTATGGTATCTATGTAAATTGTAGGCATTTTCCCAGTTGGGTGTTTGTGTGTCTGTGTGGGTGTGTGTGTGTGTGCGTGCGTGCTCGGCAGTATATAAAGTGGGATGAACAAACCCAAGGCTTGAAATCACTGTTTAACCTACAGGAAAAAAGTTGGGTTTCCCAGTTAAGAGTTCTTCCTTTTGCGTAAATATTTCGAAGAGAGATTTCTCTGCTTGTTCCAATGTGGAATAAGAAATCACTGGGTCAAGCTACCAGGACTGGTACAGTTTATCTATAGCAAGGGTTGTGAGTAGTTTTTCTTCTGGGTCAGTGTCTCTTAAGGGAAGTTTCTCCACTTGTTCCCATGTGGAATGAGAAATCTCAATTTTAAGCTTCCAAGTGTGCCATGTGCCTTCTGCAGCAAGGGTTGTGAGTAGTCCTTCGAGCTGGCCTTGAAGGTAGCAGCCACTGAAAAGGAAAAAGGGGCCAAATAGGGTTCGGTCAGCATTTTTTCCTGTTGTTCTCTCCTGATTATTTCTATTGCTGCTACTGTTGAATCGAGCAAAGTAAGGAAGCCCCCACATGCCACAATAGCCAACAAGTGAAATAGTTATAATAAAATGGTAGCTGTCCTGATATCTCAACTTTGCATATGAAGAAATCAGTCATACTTAATATCACAGTATTAAGGAGTTAGGTACAAGAACTGCTTGCTGGTGGTGTGGAGGTACACATTAGCCTGCAAATTATCAGCATGGCACGGTGTGACCCATGCTTGATTCAAAAATCGTACAACTCGTACATCAATCGCTATCACTTGACTTAAAATATTTTTGCCCTTCCTTGCCTTTAAAGGAGTGCCCTTTGCTGTGCTGATGTTGCTACATGCCTTACTTCTTGCCTATCTCACACTGCGAATTTTTCTAAGCTCTATACTAAACATTAAATCTGTTACAAAAAAAGAACTAAACAAAATGAACACAAAACGATCAGCTTTAAAAAAAAAGACTCATAACTGGAAAAACCAAATGAAAAAAGAATGTTAACAACAAATACTTTTTCACACCCAACCCAGTTCTGTGGAATCAGAATCAACGTTGAGTTTAAGCAAGCGAATGACTCAATTAAAGTGCTATGCAGATTTAAATTTTTCTCACTTGTGACGAATACAGCTATCAATTTTTTTTTACATGTTAGCATGCTAGTTAACATTCATGTCAGTCAGCTGTTGGCTCTCACACTGGTCAGTAGAATTTCCTGCCTATTCGTGGCAGCCAACTATAGTCTCTCACACTCGACAGTACAAAATGGCTTCAAACTACATGAAAACTGCCATAGAAGCATGAAAAAATTGATTATTTCTACTATCGATGGGAGTTGGGAAATGCAAAGTTGGTGTTGGCCTTCCCGCTAACTTGTAGCATGTGTATATAAATTTTGGTGCAAATATGTCGAAAATTGTGGCCGTGCATTTGTTACACACACACAAACATCCTGCCTTTTATAGATAGATTACATGTCATTGAAATTTGCTGGTACATGTTGCTATTATGATTTTCTGCTTAAAATACATTTGATTTCTTTTTTTTCTCTTTATTTGCACTCCTGACAATAATTCAAAGGCTTGGACGTAATACAAATTTTGACTATTTTTTACTATTTTTTTTTTTTGTCAGCAACGTCCACAAAAAATAATGAATAGGCATAAAATTTCTATTCTTTTTAATAAGACCATTTTACTAGAACAGTTACCTCCAAAATATACTAAATATATATACATATAGTTTTAGCTCAGAGGTAATAGTGGTGACAAGCTCCTACTGTTTATAAAATGTTACCATAGCTTGCGTGTCAAATAGCTGCTGGCATTTAAGCTCCAAATCATAGAATGGGCAAAGTTGGACAACTAGCACTTCATAACCAGCAGCTTTGGGTAGATGAAGCTCAAAAGCCCAGGAAGGGAGTCCATCTACAGGGCAGAAAACCCTAATTTTAAACTTCCACTGCCTTGCATTCATATCAAACACGGCTATGAAGTAAATCCAGACAGAAAATCCAGAATCCCCAAAGGCAGTTGGCTGTCAGCACTGACAACCTCCTGTAACCAAGCCAGCTTCAGATATAATGCCCTGTATTCAATGGATCTTGTTGGTACAGCTAGGGGGCAGGGCATGTAGTCTTGGCAGTGTATGGCTATACACTATCGCCCAGGCTTCTGCCTTGGAAGTAACACTCCAGTCTCAACGCCAAAGGACTGAATTTTGACCAAATAGGACATTACATTTATCTCACAAGATAAATAGATAACTATTAGTTGTGGCATTATTCATTCCTAAATTTCAGTGGAATACATTGGTCCCACTCCTTACAGAGAGAGAGATGGTCCAAGACTATACCTGATACCATAGATAGTACCAAACTCTATATATAATTTGTTTTTCCTATACATGTTAGAGAAAAGCTTAAATTAATTGATTAGCAATAAAATTAAACAACTGTAATAATATTCTGTAATAAAACTACTGACAAATTTCTTATAATGTAGATCTTGGAAGCCTCAGTCGATGAATTTTGTCTTTACTTATTAAATTAAGAACTTCCATTTTTTTCACTTGTAACCTCTGAGATTAAGGTTGTATTATGTTCCGAGAAGGAAAATTTCACTTCGGCTGAGTTGGTTAGAAGAAATTCCTTCATCATTCAGTTAGCTCCTTTTGCACTGCTATGGTCACCACTCTCCTTAATAATTGTGGTCCATGGTGACATTCAAGACAGAATAGTGCAATGCCTTCCAGTTCCGTTTTCACCAGGGATGTTGAGGTTACCCCATTCCTCCTCTCAGAAGTTAAAGAAGCAAGAACTACAAGGCAGCAAGTGGTTTGAATTCAGATTTTTCCTCCTTCTAGACTGGGGAAGGTATATGGAGGTCATGAACTTTATATTCCCACTTAAGGCCATACCAACAAGATTCAAAGGAATACAAGGCATTATATTTGCAGGTGGCTTGGCTGCTGGAGTTGCCAGAAAGATGTTAGTGTTGACAGCCAACCACTTATGGGGCTCCAATCTGGCTTTTCTTTCTGGATTTACTTCTGTGTTTTTGATATGACCACAAGGCAGCAGAGGCTTAAAATCAGGGTTTTTACTTCTCCTAGATGGACTGCCTACCTGGGCAGAAGAAATAGATAAACAAAAAATAGGAATTTTTAATGTAGAGCCTGTTCAGGATAATTTCTTGAAGAGTGAGAACATTTAAAGTGCGTTCTTATGATAATCCCTGTAAAAAAAGAAGAAATAAACATGATTGAACTTACTTATTGAGAGTTGGTGTGTAGTGTCTAGGCCATGGACTGTGTTCTGTGAGCATGGTATCTCATGTTCTGTCTCATTTACAGTGCTGTCCTAAACAGGGCTAGGCTCTAGAAATTCTGCGTGGCACATGCTCTCGGTTTTTTGTTTTACACATAGCTATAATGCTGGAAAAGGTAACTGCTGCTAATAATGTTTTTAACATATTCATGTCTAGCCAAACTGATTATAGTGGTTGTTACAAACTTAAATGAATCCCTTTACAAATTCTCTTTGAAATAGGCTTACAGCCATATCATCTTGAAACATCAGTTCTCATATCATCACAAAAGTTAAGCAACATTAAGCCTGGTCAGTACCTAGATGAGTGACCGCTTGGGAATACCAGGTGCTGTAAGCGTAGATGTGTGGGTTGTGTGATTGTTAATGGCTTGGAATTTGGAAATTGAAAGCCAAGTTTCAATTCCAGTTGGGTTAGATTCAGTTACATGCAAATACCCTTGGAAAAGGTATGAATCCATATCTTCTCCCCCAGATATGGGTTAATTAGTAGAATTTGTATCACTAAATCTCCAAAATGTTCTTACAATGTAAAGATATTTTCTGGCTTTAAATAACCTGCAAAAGGTTGATAAGTCATAAAAAAGAAACCAATCAATCAAACCCTTTAAAATATTTGAATAGTAAGCTGCTCCACACTTACTCTTTTTGTACCATTCAGGTAGACTTATAAGTTGCCTATTTTGGGAGTTGACTGAGTATAATAGAGGAAATGTTACTAGACAGTTTTTTCCCCCACTGAGCTGTTAGTGCTAGATCAGAGAAGAGATCAGCTGCCAAGCTCTGGCTGTCTCAGGTTTTAGAGGTACACCCATATAATGTTGTATCATCAGCATAGATATCCACAAATGATTGGTGTATACTTTTAGGCTGATCATTTATGTAAAGTAGGAAGTGGATTGAAATAAATATCAAAACGTGGGAGATGTCTGTGTTGATCGCTTGGGGCTTGGAATACTGGCCATTAATAATTACCTTGAAGGATCCACCTGTTCGGAAGAATTTGATAATTGAGAAGACTCTTCCAGTGATTTCATAGCTGGAGAGTTTGTGCAGCAACTCTGTATACTCCATCTTGTCAAAAGTCTTCAAAATATCTAATGCAATCATCATTGAGATGTGTTTGTTGCCTAGTGTTTCACTGATTCTCTAAGTAATGGCAGTTACTATATCAGCAGTGGAACAAGCAGGTCAAAACCTATACTGTTTGTTGCTCAAGAGGTTATTCCTTTTGTGGTGATTAACAGTTTTGTTAGTTATAGACTCAAAAAGTTTGCTTATAACTTTGAAGAGATTGATGAGTCTATACTGTGAGGGTGATAAGCACTCTCCCATATTCTTGAAAACAGAGCATACACTTGACACTTTCTACAAACTTAGGAAGGATTTCTCCTTCAAGCAGTGGTTAAATAATTTTGCTGTGATTGGGGATAACTTAAGGTTAATATACTTAAGAGAAATCATTAGGATTTTATCTTGACCAATAGCTCTCCTAGGGTCAAGTCTGTAATAAAAACATTACTGAGAGTGTGTTCAGTGAGACGGGAAAAGCTAACAAGGAAATGACTTTTGGTACCTAATGTTGAGTTAGAAGCAAAGATTGTGGCAAAGAGCTTCATTTTATCTGACAAGGAGATTTTACAGAACATGCAGGATTCAAGGTGTTAACTTTCAACCTTTGGCCTGGACAGCTTGTGCATAGTTAGTCTTTGGATTTTCTAGGACTCTCTTGCAGTATTTGTGGGGGGTTCTCAATGCAGCAAACCCAGAGGAACTACAAAACATTAGACAACAATATTCAGAATATATGCACATCTATACTGATCATTCCCAAGACAACAATAGAGTAGGATGTGCAGTTATTTTTAATAATGCAATGTAAGTGTAAATAAGTCTGTATTACTATGACGTGACTTGTACAAATCAAGATACCGCTAGTTCAATTTGCCGTTCTTGCTTTCTGCACACCTCACAATGTATATCTGTCCTTTATCTCCCTGTTTTCACTGCTTCAGCCCACTTTTATCAACCAACCAATCAGCGTTCTTGGCTTTTATTCTCAGTTACACAAATAACCTCCTCAAGTTCAACCAATCAGTACACGACTTGCTATTGGTGGAAGCATGCCAAACTGTACAAAAAAAAACCCCTCATTACTACACATACAGCTAGAATTGCTAGATGGGAGTGTAATGTCATTTTCACAGAGCAAACTTGCCAATGTCACATGCCGCACATTAAGGTAAGACCCTTATTTTCCTATGCACCAGATGCAAGCCACTCTGGCTCACTTGCTTCTACAGGGCTGTTTACCACATGCAACCATTAAGATATCTCTTAAATGAAAGCCTCCATATTTAGTGCAGAATCCAGAGTGATAGATATAGCCCTTTATGCGATCAGCAAAGAAAAATCTTCATAATTTATCATCTTTCCTGATTCCATATCAGTAATAATATCTATCAAATACAAAAAGCTGGAAAACCCTTTGAAAGCTAAAATATTGGAAAAAAATTTATGCCATCTCTACTTTAAAAAAAAAATTCTTTTCATCTGGATTCCTAGCCAGGAGGAATTAAAGGCAATGATAAATCAGACAAAAGTGCGAAACAGGCACTGGTTCCTGAAAATTGCTAAATCCAATAGATTGATCTAAAACCATTAATTAAGAAACACATGCAAAATCAGTTACATGTCTGATGCTCAACTCCTTGAGAGCACCTCTCTGCGGCTGCTCGGTCTCACGTTGACGGCTGACCTGAGATGGAACAAATTCACTGAGTCAATTGCTTAGTCCACCGCAAGGAAAGTTGGCTCCCTGTGCTGCGCCAGGAAATTTTCTCCCCAGAATCGATCCTCCAGATATACAAATCAACAATTCGCCCTTGCATGGAGTATTGCTGCCATATATGATCTGGAGCCCCTTCTGTTTGCCTCGGGGTATTTGATAGGCCCCAGAGGCGGATATGCAATATAATTGGCCCTGATCTGCCATCTCTTCTACAGTCACTTTCTCACAGATGCGCCGTCGTCTCTCTGTGTCTGTTTTACAAATACTTTCATGGCAATTGCTCCAAGGAGCTGCATTCGCTGGTTCCTAGACTTCATGAGTTCAAGCGCCCTACGAGGCTGGTATCCTGGTCTCACCCTTTCACTGTCGAAACTCCTAAATGTAGCCGTCACTTCTACTCCAATAGCTTCATGTCTCGCACCTCTCGCCTGTGGAACTCCCTTCCCTATTCTAGATTCCCTGAGAGCTATAATCTCCAGCTATTCAAATGTAATGTCAATCAACATCTCCAGTTGCCTTGATCTATCCACAACCCTTCTCCTCATCCTTTCTTCTATCACTCCTATCTGATCTTGCTCCAAATTTTCTGTAACCCCTTGCATCCTAGTGGCTTCCCGCCTTGCTTGGGGTGAAACGCTTAAAAAAAAAAAATGTAAAATGGAGCAGAAAAATGCAAAATAAACTAAATAAAATCTTACCAAACCTCACTAAAAAAAAAAACCTGCCATTATGGAAAATCCTAAAGGGAAGAGATTACTTTTACATGACTACAAATAGGTCTGACTAAAATTACATATTCATTCTTACTCAAACAAGAACGATCATGGTGTCCTACATGCCAAATCCAATATATGGTAAAACATTTTCTAATTGAATGCATTAATCTTGACTCAAAAAGACACAATTTCTTCAAGGCAGACAGCCTAAAAACGCTTCGGAAATATTAAAATAAATAAAATAATGACATTCCTGAAATCAGTTGGATTATATCTGAAAATATAAAAAAAAATTTCTTGTAAATATAAACCAGAATAAATCAGTTTAGGCATAAAACAACTCTAAAGAGTTGATATGCTGTTAAAAATCCTGAAACAATGCAGCAAAGAAGTTTAAAGAAGGCTGAGGGAGGATGCTTTTGGTTTGATATCAACTTTGACTAATGAAAGCATTTTTCAGGGCAGGCTAAAAAATGGATCTGCTCAGAAAATGTCTTTCAATTGTTCATCTGCTTTCTCGCATTTTACTAATTTCAGAAAAGTGGTTTGGTAACCACCCTTCGTAGACTTGGTGAGGAGCTTTACCGTCCTCGGTGGGGAGTTGTCGTACCTGTTCCTTCAAAGAATAACGATGAGGATGATGACTCTTTGGATAAGAGACAAATCAACTTAGAAGCACCTTCAAACTCTTTGTCCACTGATGATAAAAATAAGGAAGCACTGTACTTGAAGAGTCCTGACCTTCACATTCGACTCCTTTCATGTTTTATCATCCTACGGACCATGACACAAGGTAGGTGTGTTTTTTTTTTTAGGTTTTTTTTTTTTTTTTTGGCCATTTGGTAAATTGTAAGCAAGAAGAAAAGGACAGTAGATAGCAAGTGACATTGCATTTAAACAGATACTACACTTGATTCCAAACTGACCAACGAGTGAAGAAAAGCATAACTCAAGTGACACTAACTGCTTGGTGAATGAAAGCCAAATGTTTCCTTATAAGGAAATTGTTAATATCATCATCACTGTCTATATTTCTGAGATGATGTAACTATTTACACTATTAGAACTGTTATATTTGTTCTTTATTTTCATATTCACAACATTTTGTCCGTTATATGCTCTGGTATTCTTCAAGTGATATACATTGGAATTTCAAACCGAACACTTCATTTCATCCACAGCAATAGATTGTTCTAGTTCCACATGCCATGCTTTTCTGAATATCTCAGTTCTAGTTATTTCCATATAGTAACTCAACTTTCTAAATCTTTGTTCACCTCTACTGTGACTAGGTACTGAACTCACAACTCTTTATATCAAGTCACTCAATTACTTCAACCAACACTTTTCTCCACTGGGCTATGTTATCCTTTCCTCTGATTACCATTTCCATTAGCATTTGCTTTTTCATAGTCTGTATTTGTTCTATAGATATTATACGCCAGATTTGCCTTTTTCCTATTGCCATTTCTTGTATGAGCTTCTGTTTGTCTGGTTTAGGACAGCATACGCTTGAGAAGGAGAGCATTTTTTTCTGGATTTCTGTTTGTCTTTTAGAAATATATAAACAGCTGCCAATCTCTTATTCATTTGTGGCTGCCATTTGCAGCTCACTTCTTCATGTATCATGAGCACAATCAATTTCTTTTCAGCCTAGAGAAAGTCAGTGATGTAGCAGAAATTGTGTTTTTAATATTAATTGTCTTCTTTCATTTCACTATCTGGACTTGTCGATGCAGAATGCAGAGGTCATGTCATTCATCTCGAGTAATCTGTCAAACTCTTTAGCCATATAGTTTCCTACAAACAGATGAAAAAGTTGTTCTAACTTTCATTTTGAATTTTGTCCTTTGCTAAGTCTTCTGAACTAATGACTAAAGAGGGTCATGGCTGGTGTGATCAAAGGATACTGTAATATTACAACAACTCTAATTAGAACCTTATGAAGCTTTATTTGACTAATTTGGCTTTAGCACTGAAAATGTTTATTTTATTATAGTAGATGTTTATAAGCAAGAGGGACAATGAGATATGCTTTTTTTTTATTACCACAAAGATATTTCTTATATTCATATTTTGCTTTGTTTTTTTTGTTTTTGTTTTTTTTTAATTAAATTTCACAGAGTAAAATTCTTGAGAGCTATATAAATTAGAGGAGAACTGTCAAAATGGTAATGATGAATGAAGTGTGTGATCTAGATTATTACAGAAAGTGATAGGAATGAAGAAAGGGATGATAAATGAAAATTAACTTGTAACTTGATAAGTTCACAGTTAAAGTATTCAGGAAAGCACCCACGTGGGAATCAGTTGCACAAAATAGCACTTTCTTCTTTCATTTGGAATACAGGATAAATGAAGGTGTGTCAACTCCATGGAAGTGGTATGGCATGTCCCAGCTGTAAAGGTCTGCTGGAACTAAAGAAAGGAACTCATCTGAACATTTGCCATAGAAATAGCAACAGAATAGCACTAGGCTTATGACACTGCATCTGTGTAGAACAATTTTGCAGAGGAGAAAATAAGACTTAAAGGACACTTGAGTAAAGGAATAAAGATACTCAGTTGAAAAAAAATATAGAAGAAAATGGAAAAAGGTTTGGTTTAAAAATATTAATCAGGATCTATAAAAATGGTTATGAGAATGACATTGGTGGAAATTAAGCCAGGGCTGTGGAGTCGGAGTCGTAGGGTCAGTCAGAAGCAATTAAGGGGTCACTGGAGTCAGTCTGTAAAACTATACCTACCTAGTTGAATTTACACTTTATGTAAAAGCCTTACTGTGAGGAACAAGAAGACTTACCTCCCACAAAGCGAATTTGCTTGCCGTGTCAGGTCTTGTTGAAAGATCACAACCGGCATTAAAAGAGAAACGGTTTATTCCGAAATTCTCATATCACACGCAGACGTACAAAAAAAAAAAAATAAAAAAGACTAAGAATTCAAAACTGGATGTCTCGGGTGAATGAGAAGTAAGTCTCATATGCAAAATTTAGTTGCCCCCTGACGCAGGCATAAATAGCGAGTCTGGGAGGAAGATGGCAGATCGCGTTGTTGGTGTGACAGCGTATATGCATAGTAACGAGACTGAGAGACACTTTAATCTATTTCAGTCATCGCAAACAACGGGCAAATTGAATTACCCACAACGTTATAGAATTTTTATTTTTATTTTTTCTACTATATATTTAGTATTTCCTTTAAAGAAATTAATCACAACTTCTTTTTTATAATCATTTATATTTTTTTGTAGCCATGTTTATCACAACTTTTCAGCCGTTGTACATGCCAGCCTTCTTCAGGTGGTTGGAATGTCAAACTGAACCCTTTATTTCGCTCACTGGAGTAGACTGTTCTAGTTCTACATGCCATGTCTAATGGATGTCAGTTATCAGTTATCTCCTGTTAATTCCCCTCTGAAAGTTCTCCTGTAAGCGAAATAAAGTGTTCAGTTCGATATTCCAACCACCTGATGAAGGCTGGCACGTACATTGGCCGAAACATTGTGATAAACATGGCGACAAAGTTGAGGACAATAGTTCGAATAATGTAAATAGTGTACATAATACCTCATCTCAGAAATATAGACAGGTCAGATCTGGTCGGACATACTTTAAAAAGTAGCCATGATAGGAAGTTCGACGTTTGAAGATACTATCCATCAATCTTGTTCCCCTTGACAAATATCTATATACGCTAGTTTATCCACACAGTTACCTGAGGATTTTTTGCAGCAACCAGTAGGAACTTTATCTCTCTGTTTTTTTTTTTTTATTCCTCATTCTGAAAGAATTTCCAACATGCAGACACAATATTTAACCCTGCTGTTAATTTTATCAACACCTCAAGATCTTAATAGAAAATCACCTAAAATGATTGTAATCTCTGGCAGCCTATGGTATTCAATTGCTAGCAGTTTTTTACAGCGGTGTTTATTCTTTCTACCTATAAGCTCAAGACTTTCTCGAAGGGTAAAACACTTCAAGAAGTTTCTCATGTCAAGAAAACCACAGTCCGCTAGAATGAACAGAAGAATCCTTCAGTAATTCCATCCTGATGGTTACACAGCTCTAAGATACTAGATGACTGTATCTGGATACCAATAACAAATGAAAATACTGAACAGATGAAAAAAACCTACAGATGCAATACTTTTCATCTTAATTGGCATTTGGTGTCAATGATTATAAGAGATAATATCTGTCTATATTTTTAAGGTGAGGTATTGTAACTATTTACACTATTTACATTGTTCAGACTGTTGTCCTCATATTTATTGTCATATTGACAACATTTCATATGCTCCAACCTTCTTCAGGTGATATGTTGGAATTTCAAATCAAACCCTTTTTTTGTTCACCAGGGTAGAATGTTCTAGTTCCACATGTCACGCCTTTTCTGGATATCTCCATTTCAGTTAATTCCCTTTTTAGTAACTCAACTTTCCAAGTTTTTTGTTCACCTCTACTGTGGCCAGTTATTGAACTCACAACTCTTTGGATCAAGTCACTGGATTACTTCAACCAACACTTTTATCCACTGGGTCATGTGTTCTTGGAAAATTGATTTACTAAAGGGAAAACTGGGACAGCCAGAAAAGGTATGACATATGGAAATAGAACAATCTACCCCAGTGAACAAAATAAAGGGTCCAGTTCAAAATTCCAACATATATCACCTGAAGAAGGCTGGAGCATACAATGGCCGAAACATTGTGCATAAGACAATAAAGATGAGCACAACAATCCAAACAATGTAAATAGTGTAAATAAGAAATGACATTTGGCACTGCAACTGATTATAGATGTATATTAAAATCGAGAAACAATCTGGATGTTGCAATAAAATGAAAAAGTGTTTTAACAGTCAACAGAAGATTTGACACCAAAATCCAAGAGCACATTGGAATAGCAAAAGATGTCTTCCAAAAACTATGCAACGTATTAAGGAACAGGAAAATATCATTACTGCTTGGTAATATCAGACCTATATGGCAGTGATTGCTTGACAACTTCCTCACAGATGAAGAGAAGACTTGATGTAACAGACTTAGTCTTATCTTGGAAGTGTTATAATGGGACGGAGAATGTGGGAAAACTTGAGCAGGTGCAGATGACATCATGTTAATAGCACAGAAAGAAAACTGCAGGAATAACAAGGTAATAAAGAAAAGCATGAAGAAAAGACTAATTGTCAATGATAAGAAGAAAGAGTGTATGGTCATGAAGTGTGTAACTCAACAATTCAACTGGTGATAGCAGGTAGGCACAAAGAAAACCGGGTCGCACGTCCAACCTTCTCACGAGCCGAAAGCCTTTCGTTTGAAACAGCAGAAACGAGCCTGCTTTTATACAGCTGCGGACCGACCACGATTTGCATGCGAATCACGAGGCAACGAGATTTCACGTTAACTGACCGAGACTACTCGGCATAAAAACGCAGGCGCCGCCATTTTGGTTTTCTTTTTTACAGTTGGAAGGACCAGTGTTTACATACTGCGCAGATTCGAACGCGTTTCCGAGGTAGGCCATTTTCACAATTTTCCCCACAGGTCATTAGCAAGAGGAAAGGTTTAATGAATGTCTTTTGGATCTCAAGTTCACTCTAGCCCTCAAGTGGAATTTATATATATGATCTATTGGTAAAGATGCTGGAAAAATGATTGGCTCATTCTATCAATCTAGGAAGTATCTGACTATTTCTGAGAAAAGGAAAAGGGGAAAAAAAGCAGATTATGAGGAAGGCAAACAAAAGAAAAGAAATTGAAATTCAAAATGAGAAGGGACAGGAGAA